AAAAAAAGGATTCCTGCCAATACTGAGAACCCTGCCAAGGCTAGAAACCATGACCTTCAGGGGGCATCACACTTGGTAATGTGCTTTTCTGCAACAGCACTTGGTGGCCTGGATGGGGAAGGGGGAAGTCAGAAAGTCAGATGGATGAGCTCACACAGCTGGTTGTAGCAGGGAAGAAGTGAGGCGAAGACCATGGGACAAGAGTGCTGACAGACTGTAGCACTTCTGGGACCTGGGCTCAAAGCAGCGAGGAAGCAGACAGATGGGTAGGGAGGGAGCTGGAAGGACAGACACTGAGGTCAGGGAGAAGACTGACTGTAAAATTTCTTTTTCTCTCTCTCATTTTGGATTTCCCCCTCCCTTTTTTTGAGACCATAAGATTTCAAAAGTGAGGCAATTCCTGGTGATAACAAAGCTTGATTGTGCAGATACCACCTATGCCAAGTGCCTAGAGCACACAGAGGGTATAAGAGGTTCCTTGAAGGGCAGCAATGACACTGTACACAGGATATAAAAAATGTCCCATGTGCCTGGGAGAATAGGAGTCAGAAAGCCCCGGGATTCTTTTTTTTTGAGACAGAGCCTCAAACTGCTCCCCTGGGTAGAGTGCTGTGGCATCACCAACTCCTGGGCTCAAGTGAGTCTCCTGCCTCAGCCTCCCAAGTAGCTGGGACCACAACGCCCAGCTATTTTTTGGTTGCAGCCATCATTGTTGTTTGGCAGACCTGGGCTGGATTTGAACCCGCCACCTTAGGTGTATGTGGCTGGCGCCTTAGCCTCTTGAGCTACAGGTGCCGAGCCAGCCCCAGGGTTCTAATCTCAGCTCCTGCTCTTGCTGTGTGCCTTTGGGCAAACTACTCAACCCCTCTGAGCTCCAATTTTCTCATCTCAAAAGTGAAGCTAATAATATCTCCTCAGTTGATTACATTGCAAAATCATGTTATATATGATAAATACATATTTATAGTTGTCTATTAAGAAGTTAAATAGGCTCGGCGCCTGTGGCTCAAGTGGCTAAGGCGCCAGCCACATACACCCAAGGTGGCGGGTTTGAATCCAGCCTGGGCCCGCCAAACAACAATGACGGCTGCAACCAAAAAATAGCCGGGCGTTGTGGCAGGCGCCGGTGGTCCCAGCTACTTGGGAGGCAGAGGCAGAAGACTCGCTTGAGCCCAGGAGTTGGAGGTTGCTGTGAGCTGAGATGCCACAGCACTCTACCCAGGGGGACAGCTTGAGGCTCCTGTCTCAAAAAAAAAAAGAAGTTAAATAAAAAATACTGACTATACAGTGCTTGGCCCACGGTAGGCAATCCGAAAGTCCTGACTCTTCTGCTGCTAAAGAGCTGAGGTGAGCACCATGTGGCCTCCAGCCCTTCAGAGCTCATGATTACCTATGATCTTATCGGAAGCATTACAAGCAAGAGCAAAGCGAGTCGTTTTAGAGTAGATCTCCATGGTTCTCCTCAAGGCTTGCTGGGCTCCATCAGTCATGCTGAGAAGAAAAACACAGAAGGCAATTTGCAACGGGGACCCAGGGCCCACTGGACACATCCCTCTTTATACAAAAACCCAGGATGCAAGACATGTCCAGTGTCCTAGCAAGGGTTTCAGAATTAAAGGATGCTAAAACCCACAAGCCACTCTCAAAAATTGCCCAAACAGTATTTAGTACCTACAGTATCCAGAAACAACCCCTAAGTGAAAGTCACAGAAACTACCATCTACAATGGCTGCCATGGACTTACAGGAATCGATCCTCCTTTCAGCTCCTCCACCATATAAAATTCAAGAGAAGAGTTGTGACATCAGCTGCCAACTTTTCTAACAAAGCACTTAATGAGCATGGACAGTCTCTCCAGGACCCCACATGGGTCTCACACTCGAAGACGGTAGCCCTGTTTCTGGATGCTATAGGTACTGATTTAATAAAGCCCAAAAAGAGATCTAGAGATCAAGGCCCAAATAAACTTGGCAAAGCATTCTACCTGTCTGCTTCATCCAGGATGATGATCTTGTGTCGACCTTTGGGAAGCGTGACTTTTTGTTGAGCAAACATTTTGATTTTATTCCTCACAACATCAATGCCCCTGAAATAGTAAGTCAAAATTTTATTGTCACCCACCTTCTGAAACAAACTCAGTTACCATCATGGGAACTTTTTTTTTGCAGTTTTTGGCCAGGGTCAAGTTTGAACCTGCCACCTCTGGCACATGGGGCCACCGCCCTATTCCTTGAGCCACAGGTGCTGCCTATCATGGAAACTTTTAAACCCTCAGTATATAATCAGAAACTACAAGACCCAAGTTTAGTTTTCGAATTTCTTTTTTGGGCAATTTAATTATAAGAATTGATATTTCATTACTTTTATCTTTTCTTGGAGGTCTTCCAAAGAACAAAGAAAATACTTGCTTTTAAAATTCATTTTGTCTTGCAATTATCACATAGGTTCACCGGACCCTTTTATAATCGAAGATACATTTAGATCTTAGTGATCTTTTCTTCCTTTAACTTTTTTTTTTCCTTTGAGACAGTGTCTCACTCTGTTGCCCAGGCTAGAATGCCAAGGCATCATAGCTCACAGCAACCTCACACACCTGGGCTTGAGCGATCCTCTTGCCTTAACTTCCCAAGTAGCTGGGACTATAGGCGCCTGCCACGATGCCTGGCTAATTTTTCTATTTTTAGTAAAATCAGGGTCTCACTCTTGCATAGGCTAGTCTTGAATTCCTGAGTTCGGGTGGTGCCTGTGGCTCAAAGGAGTAGGGCACCAGCACCATATGCCAGAGGTGGTGAGTTCAAACCCAGCTCTGGCCAAAAACTGCAAAAAAAAGAAAAAAAAAAAAAAAGAATTCCTGAGTTCAAGTAATCCTCCTGCCTTGGCCTCCCAGAGTGCTAGGATTACAGGCATGAGCAACAATGCCTGGCTCTTCCTATATCTTGAAACAGCTTACTACTTCATTATCTTAATATTTATGTCATCATAATTCATCAATTATTCTCAACTATGCTAAAAAGATAAAAAAATAAGAAAATGAAGGGGCTCGATGCCTGTAGCACAGTGGTTACAGCATCAGCCACATACATCAAGGGTGGTAGGTTTGAACCCAGCCCAGGACAGCTAAACAACTGCAACAAAAATAATACCAGGCGTTGTGGCAGGCGCCTGTAGTCCCAGCTACTTGGGAGGCTGAGGCAAAAGAATCACTTAATTCCAAGAGTTTGAGGTTGCTGTGAGCTGTGACACCAGAGCACTCTACTGAGTTTGACACAGTGAGACACTGTCTCGAAAGAAAAGAAAAGAAAATGAAGGAATGATGGAATTGCCTAAAAGGATGATACAACAATGGGAAAAGAAAAAAAGACCATCAATACTGCCTCAACCTTCAGATTTTCAACTGTATTGCTTGAGGTGCTACATTGTTTTTCAAGATGATATAAGACAAGTTCAGGTACATCATCGTCATTGTCTTTCAAGCTTTCATCGACCACAGCTGAGAATTAAAAATTTTTCATTTTCCACCCACGATGCCAAAGAGAGAAAAAAATGTCAGAGTAAGACTTTTCATAATCATTAGATGAATCAGAAAATAACAACAGGAAGACCAACAATAGCATTCTAGACTCTACTGATAGTGAAACTGACCACAGAAGCGAAGTCTCAGATTCTAAGTCTTCAGATGCCAATATCCTAGAAGAATTTTCTCAAACTGTAAGTGTCAAGGAGTGAGCAACATACAGCAGTACTTTGGTATCCATGGGGGATTGGTTCCAGGACCCTTGATGGATCACAAAATTCATGCATGGTTAAGTCCCTTATATAAAATGGCATAGGTGGGGCCAGGTGTGATAACTCACACCTGTTCTCCTAGCACTCTGGGAGGCCGAGGAGGGTCTTGATTGCTTGAGCTCGAAGTTTGAGATCAGCCTGAGCAAGAGTGAGACCCTGTCTCTAAAAATAGCCAAGCATTGTGGTACGTACCTGCAGTCCCAGCTACTTGGGAGGCTGGGGCAAGAGGATCACTTGAGCCAAAGAGTTTGAGGTTGCTGTGAGCTATGATTACATGGCACTCTATGGAGGGTCACAAAGTGAGACTCTGTCTCAAAAAAAAAAATGGCATAGGTGGGGTTTGCATAGAACCTATGTGCACCCTCCCATACACTTTAAATCATCTATCTCGGGGTGGTGCCTGTGGCTCAAGGAGTGGGGCGCCAGCCCCATATATCAGAGGTGAACAGTTTCAAACCCAGCCCTGGCCCAAAACTGGAAAAACAAACAAACAAACAAACAAAAAAATCATCTATCTCTAGGTTCCTTACACTGTTACATCTGAAATGTTTAGGACCAGAAATATTTTGGACTTTGAATATTCAGATGTTGGAATGTTTGCATCATACTTAACCACTTGAGCATCCCAAATCTGAAATACTCTAATGAATACTTCCTTTGAAAGTCATGTAAGTGCTCAAGAGTGTCAGATTTTGGAGGATTTCTAGATTTCGGGTTTTGGATTTGAGATATTCAACCTATATTATCTAAAACAATATAAATGCTATGTAAATAGCTATTACACTGTATTGTTTTTTATTTGTCTTATTTTATCATTGTATTATTTATTTAATTTATTTTTGGAGACAGTCCCACTCTGTGCCCTAGGTAGAGTGTGGTGGCATCATAGCTCACAGCAACTTCAAATTCTTGAGCTTGAGCAATCCTCTTGCCTCAGTCTCCCCAGTAGCTGGGATTAAAGGTGTGCACCACCGTACTTGGCTAGTTTTTCTATTTTTAGTAGAGACTCTTACTCAGGCTATTCTCAAAATCCTGAGCTCAGGGGCTCTACCCGCCTAGGCCTCCCAAAGTGCTAGGATTACAAGTATGGCCCACCGCGCCTGGCCTATTGTTATGTTTTTTTAAATTTTAAAATATTTTTTCAAATATTTTCAATCTGTGGTTGGTTGACTACAAGGATGGGGAGCCGATGGATCTGGAGGGTCAATTGAATTTCTAAAGAGAAAAATAAAGATATTTTCATCTAAAAAAAAAAA